CACACGCACTGACTCTCTCTCTCTCTCACACACACACACACAACACACACACATACACACACATACACACACACACACGCACACATCCCCCTCCCACACACACTCACACTGTAACCAATGTCCATGGTGTATTATAGTTCGACCTGAGCCTGCTTAGTGGGAGGAGCAGCTCCGGAGGTAGTGGAAGTTGCACGGACCCTGACGTGTGGATGTACTGTGTGCGGGAGGTGGCCGCTGAGACCATGAGAGTCACACAGGTGGGTTTCCACTTTTTATATAATACTAGCTGGGGCCCCCTTTCGATGAAAGGAATGATCGGTGCATTAACATCAACTGAAAGTCATTGACCTACTATATTTACACTCTACTGGAATGGAGCAATAAAAGGTCACACACGTGTTTCCAAGTTGCCAAATATTTAATAGATGTATAGATTGACTCTCTATTCCGTTTTCGTGGTTGTACACTCCAGAATTTCAAAGGGGTGGAACCAGTGCGCACGGCTAGCGAACGGAAACCTCATTTGTTTACAATGGCGTAGTAGAAGACGGACTTTCACAAGATTAGAACTCTGTGTGATCGAAACAAAGCATTTTGGAAAAATCGGGGAAAGCAGTTTGCGTGTCTTTTTTTAAAGTTAGGTCCTAGCCACATGGATGCTGTGGACGCCTGCAAAGTTTCAAAGGTGTGGGTTAGGTACGAAGGGAGGAGTTTGTGCACAAATCCTCCAAGTCCAAGTTTATAGATATAGATGTGTCACGGCGCGGTGGAATCAGGCACTCGTCAATTTTTTGGGCATGTGGAGTTATTGGTATCATCTTAAAGCTTGTTCATTTATCCTGCTTTTCGTTAAAAAAAACACCCATCTGTCTTGAGCAGAAGTCGAGATATTTGCCTTGAAGGAGATGGGGGTTGTCTGGTTGCAGAAATAAAATTAGCGAGAAAATGGCGTCAAAGTTTGGTGATTTCCAAAACATGAGAGTGCATGGAAAATGACAATTCACAATTTTTGCGCGTTTAATCAACGTGGTTTAAAAAAAAATCCACACAGAAATGTATTTTCAAAAGGACATAAGGGGTGGTGAGCCAATGAACCCCCCCCCCCCCCAAAAAAAAAATAAAAATAATAAAAAAATTGCCAATCCGTCGGAAAAATGCAGATTTCTTGGATTTCTTTGTTTTGACAAGCGCCTAATTTTACCACGATGCCTCACATACATCGTCGGCAAGCTGTTCAAATGTTCTAAGTGGGTAGTTGGCGGGTGCTTAAGTGTGGTTTGCACCTTCTTTCCTATCAAACATCTATCGTCCTTATCTACCCCTCCTTCGTTTTTTAAAATGTTTATTACTCTCTTGTAACACCTCTAATCTTCGGTACTTAGATCTATATGACATTAATGTGTTACACGTGCCGTAAAACTTCTATTAAAACTTTTTAAAACAGGTCCTAAGCCCAAAAAGCAATTTTTTTTTAGGTAGAAAAAAATCTATTCATTCGTTTAACAATTGACCTACTTTAAGAATCTTTTCTTGTTTTTTTCAACATTTATAATTTAAATTTTAAATATTTGTTGAGCACATGCAACTGATACCGCAAATTACGATACTGCAGCGAAAACTAAATTTCACATTTTGGGCGTAGTACGTTTTAGCAGCTGGCCAACGATATAAAAGCCTCACATTTGTTGTAAAGAGGTTTGATGATCAAATGAACCTGAATTAAGCCTATTGTTCAAATCATTCATGTAATTACCCCCCCCCCCTTTTCCCTCCACCTGCCTTAAATTTAACAGGTAGCCAAAAGTTGCGTGTATGTTGGTCCGGAAAAATCAATGAATGAACAAACCGGACTGAACCTTTTTTTTAAGTGTTTATAAATCGACTAGTAATAAACAACACTAAGAAATAAACTAAAAATAAAAGGACAATCAACAGAAATGAGTAAACAGTGGATTGATTGATTGATTAATTATACTATTTTTCTAATCTTTCGATCGATCACTCTGCATATCAACAAATAATCATTGCTGTTGATCACCTTATGCCGTCGATATTTCTCCAGGTTCCGCCAACATCGACCTCCTTGAATTCTTCAGCAGCCTTTATCGTCATCACAGACAACTCCTCGTACGTCTGGTACGGAAAGGTCAGTATACCAGAATAGAATGAATGTGTTCAGAGCGAGGAGAATCCAGAGGTTTACTTCTCCGGCACAGGCTCTTTTCTTTCATCAACTCTCAGAGAAAGACATGACGTTTGTTTAATGCTTTAGTACGAGTTTTTACAATACAAAAAGCTAATAATAATAATATTAGTGCCGAAGATTAGAAGTGTTACAAGAGAGTAACACATACAAAAGAAAGAAGGAGGAGAGATAAGGATGACAGATGTTTGATAGGCAAGAAGGAGTAACCCCACCAGGGCACCCGCCAACCACCCACGTGGCGGGAGTTCAGTTTTATCAACAGCTCAAATGAAGTTAGCTTTTAAAACCGGAGTAAAACACATCTCCAGAAGACTACTCAACAACCTTTCATTCGTATGCGAAACATTTTTAAAATTTTCAATTAGGAATGTTCCCAATTCGATCTTCCATTAAATAAACAGGCCTGTCGTTCTCTCTTAAATTTCAATTTGAGTTCTTTGAAGTTATTAATTTCTCACATAGAGGAAAGTACGATGATGATGACTGGACATCATTTTCATTTTCTCTTCAGAATGCAAGTGCCCTTGAAAGAGAGTATTCAAAGAGCATGTTAGCCTACCTGTGCCCTACCAAGTGAGTTGAGACCATGTTCATCGTGTTTGAACATACATTTCGGTACTACTATGTCTGATTTATCTATCTGTCTACCTACCTGCCTACCATCCTACCTACCTACCTACCTACCTACCAACATACCTACCTACCAACATACCTACCTACCTACCTACCTACTTCTCTGTCTGTCTGTCTGCCAATACTTAAGTTTAACAGCCTGACGAGACCTGATCCTTTGAAGATCCAACATAATTTTGTCTTCTCCTCAGTAACCTCTTGCCCGCCGTCTGTGCATGTCTATATGTTATAAGTTAGGTTACATTTTTGTTTGTGGTCACTGCACCTAGATCCATATCCCAAGAGTATTTTTCGACTCATCATTTCTCCCTCCCCCCCTCTCTCTCTCTCTCTCTCTCTCTCACTCTCTCTCTCTCTCACTCTCTCTTTCCCTCCCCCCTCTCTCTCTCTCTGTGCCTCTCTCTCTCGCTCTCTCTCTCGCTCTCTCTCTCCCTCTCT